ACTGTGATTCACAGTGTCTGTATGTCTATGTTCCAGTGTGTGACTGTGATTCACAGTGTCTGTATCTCTGTGTTCCAGTGTGTGACTGTGATTCAAAGTGTCTGTATCTCTGTGTTTCAGAATGGCAGTGGTTGTGCAGTGCTGCAGGTAAGTCTGTCTCTTCTTGATGACAGAGATGCTGTTTTAAGCTCTAGTGTCTGTGGTTATTGAGTTTTTGATTCCAGAAGGTCTCTTTAGTGTGAGGAAGTCATTCCTGGTTTGTATACAGAAGGAGATGTATTTCAATTTCATGTTTCTGTATCATCCTACATATAATCTCAGTGGGCTGTGAAGATCAATCAAAGTTTCATGGTGGGAATTTCTATTTCCATCCTGTGTTTCAGTCTATTGGCTAGTATGAGTCTCTCCTGGAGGGACTGACAGTGTAGGAAACTAATTTTCCCTGAAGGCCATGTGCTCTGGTCTCTGCTTACTCCTGAATGAGGGTCTACAGACTGAATGTGGCAGAACCAGTGATCCCGGATTTGGGAATAACTGTGAAATACCAGGAGAAATGAATCAGGTGCAGAGCCAGTCTCATAATAACAAGCCATTCAAATCCTGAGGAGAAGGACTGTTAAAAGATGGTATAATGACAGTACTCTTCCCCTGCAGCTTCACAAACATACAGCCTCTTGCGAGAGGCAGCAGTTTGACTCTGGTACAGGGGCTCCTCTGGGGCCTGTAGGCCTCTTCCTTGTCTGCGAAATGGCTACTTCACATGCCGACCGGGCTGATAGGTCAGAGTCAGGGCTTGTTCTATCTGGACAATTAGAGTGAAAGGAAAACTCAATCACATTTATCCGTTTATATTGGGAGAGAGTGCATCTTCTTAATTTGTTGTGAGAAGGAGGGTCTTATAGTGATTTTCAGCTCAGAATCATTGTGATAGAATATTCTGGTGTTTCTGCTCCAGTGTCTCATTATAGGAGGTGACTGGTACTGATTAAGATTAAGATTAAGATGAAGATGGTAAACTTGGTGTAAAGGGTTAATATGAGTTCAGCACACTAGGGTGTCTCTGTTTGTGATTATAGTATCTGTAAGACATGGAGTACCTGAGAGGAACTCTCCTGTTCTGACTTCCTGAGTTTGGCTGAAGGAGGAAGAGCTAATCTGAAGAGTGAAAGTCTCTTTGGGAAGAATGTCTGAACAGTGGACTGTGCAGGCTTCTCTGAAAGGGGACCAGTAGAAAATCTGGGAGCCCAGAGGGGTTCCCTCTGCCAGAATTAATTACAGGACACTCAGATGTGCACATTTTAACATCATGTGTTTACTGAAAGCTGTAATTTGAAGTTAATGGTTTGGTGTCACCACACCTGTCTGGTTACAAAGGGGTCTGGGGCAGATGCCTCTCAGTCAGGGGGTAATTATCTGGGAATGAAGGGCTCTTCCCAGGACAGAAGGCATATCGGTGTATCCTGACAGAGCTCTCAGGTCCAGTTAGAAAGAGATTTAGTGGACTGTTTCTCTTCCAGAGTCTGAGATTCTTCACCATCAGATGACTTAGTAGTCATAGAAAGAGATGTTGGGGTGTTTATCTGTCAGTAAGGAGTCTGTTTCTTGGGCTGGAGAATACATCTGAGAGCTGTGAGCTCTACTGAGACAGGCTACAATGATGTGGGTTCAGTAAGAGACTCAGTGGTGTGATTGACTCAGAATAGATCAGTAATTTCAACATCCGTTCATTAATCAATATTGTCAGTGAAGACTGGGGTTTTTACCTCAGATTTGGGTTTGTCTTCACAGGGCAGGAGGAGTAAATTTAGCTCCTGTGTTTCCATGTCAGACAGGACTTTATCTTCAAAGAGTGACACAGTGACTGTGTGTCTAAGAATGTATGTGTGAAAAAAACGCTACTATAATAGTTGGGGATATTTAATTTGAATTGAGGGACTATTCCTAGGGCAGTGGTTCTCAAACATTTTGTTTTTGTTTGAATCGAGGAACTATTTATAGGCCAAGGGTAATAAATTCACATTTAGTAGTTCAAGTAAGGAGATGTGTCAGCATGCCTAGGCTGCAAAGGAATAAGTAAAGGTCTATTCCTGCTGAAAAGAGAAGAAACACAGCATTTCAGCTGTGGAGACTTTTTTGGGTGTCTTTTGGTTGTTCTTCGTTTCCTATCAAAATAAGAATGTCTTAGGTTATCGTTGGTCACCCGTTAAATCTTCAAGCAGAAAAACCTCAAAAGCTTTTAGACCGCAGTATGTAGACATCAAATACACTTGAATTGGGAATTACACAATAAAATGCAGGAGAGGTGTAATTTGAAGGATGAAAAAACAGTATTTCTGCGTATTTTGTGCAGATGAATGTAAAGAGATAGGGGAATGACAGACAAAAAGAATGTCACAGATGTCGGAAAGGACGAACCGTGGAATGACAGGAGAGCGAAAAGACCCTATGCGTAGCAGCGAGACGGAGGTTAGCCCGGGCTCAGCTGTTCAGGGAATGCGGTAAAGAAACCTATGTCCTCAGGTAGCGGACGTGGGGGGAACTGGTGCTATGCAGCTCTCAGGACATCCGAACGTCAATGCTGAGCCAAGGCAGAAT